ATAGACCACATCATCTTACTCCCTGTCTCATTCTCATAACATTCATTTTCGGTTTGACGAGAACAAGTCGTAAATTTAAGGGAAATGTTAATTATTCGTCTTAAACTCCGTGAGATTTTCAATCCTAGTGGACAAACGGTAATGTTCTCACCACTTCCTCATGGCAGGCGACAAAAAAGACGTTGGCGAGGTTTTCATTCATTTTCTTGTTTTCTTGAGAAATATCCCTTATATTTCCTCTACGTTTCCCTTTATTTCGTTTGTTATCTTCTTTACAAACTTAATTCATTTGCGCTGAGATACACGACTCTAAAGATAACTGTATTCACAGTTGATTTATTTGCTAAAATAGATGGTCGATGGAAATTTTCCAGCTATAAAAATACCACTCCATCAATCTGCGGATAAATCACGTGCAGCGCAGTCAGTTATGATGGAACAAAAATCACAGAATGGCAAAATCCACACTTGCAATCAATTATGTAATCAAACTTATGCTGTGGATTTATCTTTCACCACACGATAGGCTGATTAACATCATAGCGGTTTCAAAACATTGAACGACGATCGCTGACTTAGGATGTCAGCATAACATAGCCTATTTGTCCTTTTGTATTTTGCCCACGGTCATCTGGTTTCTTTTTGTAACCGAAGCAATATATCCATATCATTAACTGATAACATATTTTGGGCTTATTTTCCTTAAGAGATGAAACTACAATTCATGAGTTACCATTGAGCGACACTTAAGTGAATTTTAGAATGTCCACCTACTTAATAAGGTTAAACGGCGCAAATAAATTAGTGTGCTGAGTTACATTTGGTACTTACGGTCTGGCATCAGGGTAATGAGTTTGATTTGCACCACTTTGCCAAATGGATGTATGAATTTCATACCAAAATATTTTAATCTAAAATCTGATTGGTTTGTCCCATCAAGCATGCTTTCACGCACTTCATTTTTCATCCAGGTATCATAGGGATGTAAGTTTATAAATAATAAACTTTCAAGAAAAGACCTATGGGGTCTCTAACTTGTATCGTGTTCCTGGGTCCATAATGTTCTACAGAACGATGCAAAAGATATTATACTTCCGCATGTTTTCGGACAACTTCTTGCACAATTTTTAGATGCGAATTCGCGCAGAGATAACACACCTCAGTCAGCAACGCACTGATTTCAGCTGTGAACGTATCCTTATTTTCGTTATCCACAAAAGTCACTTAAAATGAAACAATTTGGCAGATTGCTGCATGAAACATTTAAGCATGCTAGAAATCGTACACTGACCAATAGAACATATGAACCGGCGGAACATGTTTCCACGTCACGCAGATTACGACACTCCAGCACACTGGAACTCCCCACACACTACTGCGAGTCAAATGAAAGGAAATTCCATGGAGTGAAACACGCCGACCGTCATTGGAAACGACAGTGCAAGTGATTATTTCTATCTAACTCATAATAACAATAACTTATTCTCAAATAACAGTTTGTTACATGAAGCATGCCAGTTTGCAGGCAAGATTAAATTGGTACAGAGGTTACAATGTTCACTGTGGTAAATTACTCAGCTGGGTTGATATTTTATAATATACGAATGTAGATAGTTTGAGTAAGAAACGTGTGGTCATAATTAATAACAGTTTTATTTGTCCCGATTTAGAGTACGGAAATAGTATTTCCTCCCTCTCTCCAAAAGGATAAAGACAATCTGGAGTATATCCAACGGTGAGCCATGAAATCATTTCTGGGACTCAAATTCAAACCTTATGAAGAGCGCCTGTTGTCACTGAATCTTTACACATTAGAGTATAGGCGTCTTAGAGGTGACCTTCTAATGACATACAGTATCCTTAACACTTCTGGTCATCCTCTTAAAAATCTACTTACGCTAAGTATCAATGGTAATCCACTGCTACTAGACACGGAAGCCCGTTAAACGAAAGCTTCTTCTATTCCGTCCACAAATATTTGATTCTTTCATGGTGAGCCCGACGTGATCTGGTACAATTATTCGTAAACTGTGAGTGTGTTCCTTTTTGGAACTTTGTATATCGTATTTTTACTTTAATTTCACATATTGTCAACTTTTCATCATCTTTTTTCTCGTTCATTCCTATACTTCATATTCGTCATGAATGAACGGACCCCTAAGTTACATAAGATCAAGATTCTTACAACACTCTCATTCCAGCTAATGCCACCCTGGCATGACAACATCGAAGCCTGGTCCTCCTAATCAGAAGCTGACTTCCACGAGCAAGGCGTCGCAGACCCACGTGCACTTCGCTGCATCGTTGTCAGAAGTGATAGAGTTAGAAGTCGCAAGGGAGGAGGCACAATATTATATATTAGAGACCACTTCCGCATTAACTCGATCATATCGGAGGCGCATGTAAGTGGTACGTGTGAGGTAGTATGTTGTACAATTAGGTCTAGAAACGGGTTAGTGACGATAGGAGGAATATATCGTAGTCCGTGTTGTCTCGCTGACGACTTTATCCTAAAACACGTCTGTTCTTGGAGCAAAGCAGAATGTTGTCTCATCGTTGGAGACTTCAATGCACCCCATATAAACTGGATAGAGCTCACAGCTCCAGGTGGGGGTTTTGATAGCGTCCTTCTGTCATCAATTATTCAATGTGCACTTGTACAATGTATCGTTAAGCCGACGCATATAGACTTGGAACATAATCCGTCATTGATAGACCTTGTCCTCACACACCACGGTGAAGATATTGTCGACATTCAACACCTTCCCCCACTGGTGAATAGTGACCATGTCGTACTTTCCTGTAAGTTCCGGATACATGGTATAGAATTTGCATCTGCTCCACCCCGTCCTAATATCTGGAGAGCTAATATTCCGGCAATAAGGGACTATGCTATCTCAATTGACTGGTCGGTCGATGCTGATGGATCGATTGATGATGCATGGAATAGGTTCAAGTCTACGTTCGAATCCGTAACTCAACCGTTTATCCCATGGTCAGCACGTAAGCTATCATATTGCCCTCCAAGGATTAATAAGGAAACCCGGAAGCTGTTGAAGCGTAGGAAACACTTCTGGGACTTATTCTTGTCAACAGGTCAGGCATCATTTAAGTGCGAATATAAAAAAATCCGGAATATATGTAAAAATACCATAGCTAAATCCCGCATGGCTTACGAACGACAGTTGGCATACGATAGCCGTACCTGTCCGAAGCGACTGTTTTCGTATGTTAAAAGGCGGACGAAACGTAGTGATGGTATCCCCTCATTACTGTTAAGCGAAAATTCAGCTTTATTGGCTGAATCTGATCTAGCGAAAGCGGAGACATTTGCAAACTATTTCAGTGAAGTCTACTCTACGTGTAGTGTTACAACTACTTGTCCCGTTGACAATGAGATACCAGCCATAGGACCTTTGCACGTGACAGAGGATATTGTTCTTCCTTTGATAACTAACCTAAAACCTTGTAAGATACCGGGCCCCGATGGGTTACACCCACGTTTGCTATCATCGCTTGCGGACATTATCTCAAGACCGCTCACGATGCTCTTCAACATGTCCCTTTCACAGGCTCAACTACCTAGAGACTGGAAAGACGCCATAGTTAGTCCTATATTTAAGGATGGCCAGAGACGGATCGTATCTAACTGCCGGCCTGTTAGCCTGACCAGTATAGTAGTTAAGTTACTTGAAAAATTAATTCGGGCTAAGCTACTGAGCCACATAGATTCGTACAATCTGTTAACTCCCGAGCAACATGGGTTTCGTAACAAGCATTCATGCTTGACTAACTTACTCATTGCGAGAGAGGATTGGACAACTGCCCTAGACAACGGCCAGTCTGTCGACGTGATATTCATAGATTTTAGCAAAGCGTTTGATAAGGTATCACACTTAGGTCTTATGCAAAAGCTCTCGAGCTTTGGTATAACAGGTGCTATACAGGAATGGATAGGAAGCTTCTTATGTGACCGCAGACAGAGAGTGAGGGTCAATGGAACTCTATCCGAATGGAAACCGGTCAAAAGTGGTGTACCCCAAGGCACCATCTTAGGCCCTTTACTTTTCCTTCGGTATATTAATGAACTACCTTTATTACTTAAGTCGTCGACATTATTGTTTGCGGATGATGTTAAAATCTGGAGAACAATAAGAAATGAGACTGATCGTTGTTATCTGCAAGCAGATTTAGACGAATTAATTAGATGGGCTCATGATTGGGGCCTGGAAGTTAATTCCAGGAAGAGCGTGTTCATGCACATCGGGCACGATATTAGTTACCATTATACCATTAATGGTACATCTCTGCCACGCGTTCATGAGCACAAAGACTTAGGAGTAATTATAAGTCACGACTTAAAAACTACTACGCACTGCAATGCGGTTGCTTCCAAAGGCTATCGCGCGCTATGGTCGCTTCGCAGAGCATTTAAATGCTTTGACGAGGATATGTTTCGAATTTTATATCCCACCCATGTAAGGCCACACTTAGAATACTGTATCCAAGCAGCTAGCCCTTGTCTGATAAAGGATACTAAATCTCTTGAGCGTGTCCAGCGTGTAGGGACAAAATTAGTAAAGGGTCTTTCTAAACTCCCTTACGATGAGCGTTTAAAACGTCTAAACCTTTTCCCCTTATATTATCGTAGGACGCGAGGTGACCTTATACTGGCATTTCGTATCTTTAATTATGATCTGGGTGTTAATATGTCTTATCTTTTTACTCCCTCCAGCACTAATAATCTCCGGGGTCATAGCAAGAAGGTTCTGAAACCGCGATCTAATAAACTAAAGGTGGGGTTCCGTTTTTCTCATCGAGTGGTCAATGACTGGAACGCTTTACCAGAACAAGTGGTATCAGCACCATCAGTGAACATTTTCAAAAAGAAGCTGGACCTTCACTGGAAGGAAATCTGTCAGGATTAACACAGGTTCATCAACCTACTATCCTTATTACTGAAGACTGAAGACTGAAGACACCGTTCATCGCAGTAGTGAGGGTCTACCGCGCGAATTCAACAGGTACGTCACACATAGTATGTTAACTAGAGATGTCTCTGAACTTCGCGAAACTCTAAAAAAGGATATTCTTAAGCGTAAAAATCTAACCGATCAGCAAAGGCTAAATCAACTCTTTAACAACATCGATCTACTACATGGTTCAGAAACGGATATGTTGTTTCGAATGAGAAAGGTAATTGGTCGAAGGACTTTCGATGATGGCCTATTTGGACACTAGCTGGAATGAGAGTGTTGTAAGAATCTTGATCTTATGTAACTTAGGGGTTCGTTCATTCATGACGAATATAAAGTATGGGAATGAACGAGAAAAAAGATGATGAAAATATCACAATATGTTAAATTAAAGTAAAAATATGATATATAAAGTCCCAAAAAGGAACACACTCACAGTTTACGAATAATTGTACCAGATCACGTTGGGCTCACTACTATATATGCCACAAGTATTTGAAGTTTGACAACTTAATCAGTAACACCTATAATGGAAACATGCCAACCCAGTGAGATCAAAAGCGAAGAGGTCCGAAGATATATGTAATGGAACATCGATATATCGTAAAGTGACTAACCTAAGCTGACCAGCGGTTGTAGAAGATGTGAAACACGGCGTACTCGTGATCTGGTGCGGATGCGTGACCGAGCGCCTCCACCCAGGTGAGTCCATTGGAACTTATTCTGCCAGTATCATATATTGAAGACTTACAGAGCTATCGGTTTTGGGGATTTATTTATCGCTACAGCTCTTATTACTAGGGTCCTGAAAGATTGATTTTCGAAAACAGCATCAGTATTATGAGGAACAGTTTACTGTCAGATTAAATATGCACTGATCGTCAATTAACTTATTATATTGGGTTCTGTAATCCTGTAAGTACAACTGTCTTTTTGGTTGTCCTCTGTGATCTGTAGTGGCGAAGCTTGGGTTTCACGAAGGCCTCTTTCGACTCAGTTTCTAACTATCAATATACTGGGGTACACTCTTTAGGATGCACCTCCTGAAAATAGCAATTGGTCAACTAAAATTCGTATTCCCAATGAATGATCGTACAAACAGGTCCGTTGTAAGTGACTTGTCTGATTCATTTATATATGCTTATATATATGTACAAATCTTGAGGAGGATGTGAAAACATGGGTGTTTCGATTTGAATTGTAGTCAACGGTACGAAGACAGTGTTGGTCCGTCCTGCACTTTACGATTATCAGTCATTCGGTGTAGGTTGCCAGCTACTCAAGTCTTAGAACTCGAGGTCTAAATTCGATATCATCACATGATAATATTAGTCTTTGTAAATCACAGATTATACCTCTCATTGTAATCTGGTTTTAAAATTTTCAGATATCTGATAGTTGGTGGGTGTCCTGTTTATCTGATCGGGCCCAAGACTATCATCTGCTCTGTGGTTTTTGATATTCTCAACGTTTCAAGTTTTGGATTCCCCAACTAATGGAGGATGATTTACAACGTAAAGTCATCAAACAACGTTTAAAGCAGTTTTATGGAAGTGATACAAACAACTCACTGGTTGATCAAAATGATCCCTTAAATATTGACAGTCCATCCTTCGATCCACAGTTGTACTTGGATAAAAGTCTTAGGACTAAAGACCTTTCTGATCTAATATCAGAAGAAAAGGCCTTAACTGATCAAATCCGCAGTCTAGATTCCGACATGCAAACGCTAGTATATGACAACTATAGCAAATTTATTAGTGCAACCGACACCATTAGAATGGTATTTCTTATTTTTTCAAGGAAATAAATGATTTTTAGATGAAATCTAATTTCAGTTACGTCCAGGCCGAAATGAATTCATTACTTCAAAATATTGCCTCGATTGTTTCAGTTTCTGGTGCGATTAATAGAAATTTTGCTGACAAGAGAAAGAAACTGAGCACACTGACAACTACCCAGTTGACTCTAAACAAAGTAAGATCAAAATTTTGAGTGGGACTAATTAAAGTCATGTTTCTAGCTAAACTACTTGGTTGAACTCCCAGTTAGCTTAAGAACGTATATGAACAAGTGTGATTGGGATCGAGTTGTACTAGATCTTAATAAAGCGAAATACATTTTAAAGAGTTATCACAATACTCCATCATTTAAAAATATTCGAGAGGACTGTTCTGAGATAGTGTCGGAAATTTGTTCAAGACTGTGGCGTCAATTTGATGAAGCTGTAAGTCGATTCTATAATTATTTTCCAGAGCGATATGGCTGAGTGTTCTAGTCGTCTAAAAATTCTGCAACAGCTTGGTTTCTCGAGACGAAAATTGTCAAGAGCGATATTACGTTTGTGGGTAACAACATATTAATTTTACTTGTTAGACTTTTACCTATAATGCTATATTATACGACTGAGTATTCACACAAATTTTTGTTTGACAGGCTTTGTTAACATTTAGGGACTCACGTTATCCATGGCTCTATAGGATAAAATGGTGCAGAAACTATGAGCTAACAAACAATCATGTTCAAACTGATTACTTAATTGTTTATCGGATGCTAGTGTAACGCAATGCCTTGCTAATCTTTCGTCTCGATAACCGTTATAATACAAATCTTAACGGTGCATGAAGTCAGAAGGCAAAGAGAAGCTGCAACTACAGTTTATTATCAAGTGACGCAGGCTTCAAGGCTACAAACACATGAGTGTTATAATTGTTTTGCTAATAAACGACCCAGCTACTCCTATTGCTTAGTATTCTTGTACAATGACACTCTACATGACCCCAAAAATCAGAACACGTTGAACCGGAACGAAATTGTATTCAAAATAACAAGGATAGGTGAACAGCAATCAATGGTTAGAAAAACATTCATATAATTATATTATATGCATAAAAAGCCTCTAGATGCTCTTTCAATAATCTGACAGAGCTAATTGGTTTAGAATTAATCAATCAGCGTGCGCCGTCACGATCATGCACATAACGCGCCATAATCCGGCTTATTTCCCGCTAACACATGAGTTAGTATCGGCGAGCAAGCGCAAGCAGTTACTTAGGCAAATTTATAGTGAAGCTGTATAAGGATTCAGCAAGACAAAGCAAAAGCTAATAATAGGATTTGAGTGCATACATATATGGGAAGAGGACGAGTCATCGAATGATATTTAAGCAATCAACGTTTTGGCTAGAGTCTGTCATGTGCTCTGGTGATCATAACAGCACAAATATATATGCGAAATGTTACTATTCGAATGACAATGTATGTTAAATAAGTTAATAAAAGGGCTTAACCAAAATCAACCATAATCGAAATTGAGTGTAGGACAGTTGCTATACTAGCATTAAGATGTCTTGTACAATAATTTCTTTCAGATAAGTGTCAGGAGGAACATTTAAGTAGATGCTAGTCACATAAATACAGTGCTTTGTAAGATGTAGCTAAGTTTATCCCACCGTTCTATAATGTCATAAGTTTGTTAAAATTACCGTAATACTTTTGATTTCTTTTGACTAGCTGGCCTTCAATCTTATGAGACGTGTTTTTCTTCTCACGATGGTTGTATTTACTATCGGTTTTATACTAATGGACAACTTATTCTTTTTTTTCAGGGCTAAACGTCAAGTATCTCAACGTTTAGCTTATATTAAGACTTTGGTGTGTGAAGGAGACATGCGAAATGTTCAGAGAGATGAAACTGTTGGTTCTGCTGAAAACATTGTTAATCCATTTGTCCAAGAGCCTTCCTCTGAAGAAATGGTAGGGTATTATCTATTTATTAGCCCGTCATTTTTAATGAACATGAATTACATTTTATAGCATATTAGAAATATGGTCTATATGTCACTTCTGGGGTAATATGCTGAGCAGTCAGGTATCTGATGAAGCACTTGTTTTTGACAATTAGTATGAAAAGACGACATGAGTATGGATTGATTGTTGTCAGTTTATATCTGCTTATAACTGAAATAGTGAATATTTCCAACTCGAGCAATCGACTTTTGGGATGAAGTATCACTTCCATCGTCACTGCTTCAGTGTTGATTATACTTAAAAATCCCCGTCAAATTCAAAGAAATGGTCAAAAGTTCCATGATTTACGTGTACCTTTAGATCATGTACCCTTATGTGAATGCATGCATTAGGTTCCTTTCGCCTACTTATTTAAAGTGAAATATAATGGGTTCATTTTATTTTTTTGCTTTACTCTCACGTTTATGCAAGCTGATGGTAGTTCATTCGGAATTTCAACAAACATTGATATAGTTCAAAATTAGTGAATTATCGATATGTAGCTTATGATAGTTTAAATCATGGTGGTTGACGATTTTTGATACCCTTTTACGGATTATAAATAGTTCGCCGACGTTTTCCAGTACGCGTGATCTATCATGTAAGCCTGATACTCGAATTCCTACCAAACGACTGGAATCCTATCCAATTTATCTTATCATATTCTACCTTCTATAGAAAAAAGGTAACAAGAACTAGGAACTCGTACGTTAGATCGTCTTATTATGGTGGAAGTTAGCGAATGATGTTATAGAAAACTTGACGTCAATTGTGACTGATTGGCTGACGTCCCGCACAGCTCTTCCAGTTTCTCCTGTTTTCGTTTTGCAGATATAGTAAATTGTTATAAGTTGAACTGTAAATTGTATTACATATAAAATAGCTTGACGATTATTTATTTAATGGAAGATTGGTTAATATTCGTTACATCGTTATTGTAACAGCGTAATTTATCTAAGACTTTTTCTTTACCCAGGACGTATTATACTTTGCCAATCTCATAACGGATTCCGTCCTCATTAAACTTTCTGAATTTATTGGATTACTGGCCGATTTTTATTTCACAAAGTCAGATGAAAGTGAACCTATGGATACTATTTTGTAAGTCGTGATAGTTTAGTGACTTTAATCGTTAGTGTTATTAAGTTTATAAGCAACAAACAAAGGATTAAATAGTGATTGCGTTGTCTGTATTACTTTCATTACATGTCAGAACCAATTGTATCTCTTATTGGTCGTAAGATACTATCAGTTCATTTTGAAATTTCTAGTTACTTGATTATATTTACACAGGTTTAAGCCAAGAAACTGTCTTTTATTGATTCCATAGGGATGTTATTTCTGGTAAAACAGAAAATAGTGCCTCAGAAGTCGATGATGGTTCCTTTGAGGAAAACTTGTCAAGTTTAGTTGAAGAACTGATGCATGAATTTTTTATTTTGGTTCGAACTCGTTTTGAATCTGAGGTCAGTTTCTCAAGTATAATTAATAAATGTTACTTTTCACTATCCCTGTTCTGAAACATAAAGCTTTGCAGAAATTTTATGAACTTTGATTTGCGTACAATAGCTCCTAATGTTCCATATTTCCAAGTATTTTATTTCCCAAACATGGGAGTATTTGACTAATTTATCTTGAGCTATTCGTGTGGACTTGTCAAACACGCTTATCTGTTAAATGATAATATTATTACGACTGACTGAATGATGTTTGTGTTATGTCTAACCTTACTGAATGAACATGATAGACATAAGGTCCTATATACTTTGTTAGAATCTTGTACCTGGATTTCAGATATGTCTAGTGGATCAATAGGGAGACTCTCCGTTGTTGTAAACAGATCTGTTTAATTTCTCAACCTTCCTCAAAATGTGAACGTGAAGGTGGCAATTTCAAATACCATGATTTGTTTCAGACTAGCTACATCAGAAGTCACATTTGGGAACGGTTTTCTGGTAACAAACACATTTAAGATTAGTTTAGCGGAACAAAATCCCTAATAAAGATGAGCTGCTGAGTAAAATAAAGATCAAAGTGAAATTGAGTACAAAGCTCATGGAAATAAAATGTTGCAAGTGAACAGGATGTTACGTAATAGATTTGTTTATGAGGAAATAATTATGAATTGTCAGCGTTTGTCTGTAATTCCAATTATTTGTAATTGTCATGGTTGGGCTTCAGAATGCTATACTGCCCAGCTACTCAGATAGAAGTAAATGGTTTTATGAAGTAAACACCTAAAGGGTTAATCTACAGGATAATATAGTACATGAACCTGGAGTTTGGATTCAGAACTCAAAATTTATTGATGATCTCCCTATCATTCAACTATATTTAAAACTCAGAGTTTCTTTCGTATTCTCTCACTTTTTAAGGAACCCTCCCGCATTAGGGATCGAGTAGAACTTCCCTATAAGGGTCTGAGTGTGTATTTTGAGAGGAACGGTAGGATTTTTCCTTCTATCAGGACATTTGAAGACCACATTTATTCCCATTCATCACAAAGTTTTTTGTACTGATCAATATACGGTATCATTTTCATCGATTATCCTCAGTGCTTACAAATTGTCGTATCTTATTTCTGTAATTATTAATTTACAATCGCCTTTTAAATTTCTTTTTGTGCTTCAATTTATAGAGCACAAATAATGATGTCAACTTGTTGATAAGAGCTTTGGATCGTATCCACTGTCGAGTACAAACCTTTAATCGGTCACTGTTGACATCAGTTACTTCTGTAGATTTTGAAGGTGTGCTATTGGATGATTTGAGTCCTGAATCGTTATCTATAGTAAATCGATTCTCTTTACTTACTAATCAATTTTCAAACTCGGCTCTGGAAATAATTAATCAAGTTGCTCGAATGCAAACTACTTATTACTTTGATATATTATGCCAAAATGCAGTTGAATCATTTACAGATCTCCGACATAAACTGGCTAGTCATGGACTACAAACATCCAATTTAACTAACGAAGAAGTCAACAAAGTGTAAGCCAGGTTATTAATTTATATTTAACGGGACAATTTCTTTTAACAATAGTTATTTCAACCTTATAGTATGTTCAAAATGATTGTTTTGATGAATCCTAACGACAATGAATATCAACTTCTTGGTTTATTGTGCGCCAATCGTTAATCAAAGCTCAGTCAGTGGTAGCTGTTTTTGGAGTATATTCATATGTCTAAAGGATCTGATTAAAACCTTTAACCATAAATTAGGTCATACGTTCCAAGGTAACCAATTAGTCGTAAGTGTGCGGTAAGAAATACCAGCGTGATGTATTTTGGTTGCAATCACTGGTCGGACGTCGATTGTCATTTTCTACGGAGATACTTGCTATTTGAGATGCCTAAGGTTATCGGTTGTTCATGAAAGTTTCGTTGTCAGCTGGTTAAATTTCAACACTAACCATACACAAACTAATTTCAGAATAAGATCCCTCCTAAGTAGACAGATTAGTTCTAACCGCTGCCTGAATTTATTGACCAGTAATTAACGATTCCTTTAATATGACAATCGAATGAATAGATTTAGATGGTTTCACATTCAAGTAGTTATACGGTTGAATGCTTAAAGATTAAACACCTGCTCCTATCGACATTCTTTCTTGATTCTGTAAATATTACTGACATTTTCTCAAATATCTAAGGGGTAGCACACTCCTATCATCATGTCCGAAATATACAATAAATGCAAAGATGGATAGTGGCTAGCAGTGCAATCCAGGACGCGCGTTTCTTCCTATTTGGGACAATATTGAAGTATTACGTTCAGTATGCACATATGCCAATAAGAGACTGATCAATCGCAGTCCTAAAAATCAATGGGAAGATCCAAGTAAACAATACCAAGTGAATTTACACAATAAATGGCTGTGTTCCGAACTGCAGTTGTAGGTCAATGACAACAATTTTCCAATGATTAGCCTTTGTTTTTGAAGTAAATGCAAAAGTTAATACAGTTTATTACAATCTGTTTCTAAGTGTTTTGGATTCTTGACCTGATATTTATGAACCATTTCGAAGTGAATTTATACCATTAAAGTTCACAAGTTATGAGGGTGAATTCCAAAGCTTCTATTCACCAAATCGTAACTGCTTTAGATAATATCTGTACAAAAGTTTTATATAGGCGATTTAATAATCTCAAAAATCTGATCTTCCAAAGGTTTTAGTTCTTTAATTACTGGTACATTTTTTTCAGTAACTAACTGCGTTATCCTTAAAAAGCATTGGCGGAAAACATCCTCATATTAACCTCTAATTTTTAGTTCTATATGTCACATATGAGTTTGTTTGGTCTTTGTGGTTCAGTAAGATCTTGGTCACTACTCGTGTTCCTAAGCAGGTTGTAGGGGCCCTGGATGTCCGTGCCTGTTATGTCTATTTTATGCTTGAGTTTCCGTACACTGCCAACAGTTGTAGTCAGATATATGAAAAAACATCATGAAAGTTTGTCTTTGAATAAGAAAACTATTCTTTCACTATAAGTTGCTGAAATAATATAATGATAATTACACAGCTTAATGGTGAGTTAACACGGATTGGTTTTCGGGGCAGTGCTACGACATACTAACATTTACCAAAGGAGTATCTGTTAGATCAAACTTAACGTTTAAAGTTACGTATGTCTTTTATTTTGTAGGAACAAGATGGGAAATAACAATCATCAGCTTTCATCACTTTTAGATGCTCTGAGTTCGTCACTCGTTTCACAGCTGCGCAATGTACTAAAAGCGGAGGAGGTAGACATCTTTTTGTGTCTCTTTATATTATTTAGTAATAGTATTGTTTTTCACTGAAATTCCAGCTACTTTTTGAACTCACCAGCATCCATTCTTTGTTTCATCTAGTCACTGTACATATCCTTTTTGCGGCCTTATTCGGTTTTATTCCTGTTCTGACGATTGTTCGCGTTAAGATACTCAGTCTTCAATCATTAAGTTACTCGCATTCATTTCTCTCTACCTGCTAAGATTGGGATAGCCATAATGTATTGGTAATCGTTACACAGCAAATAAAATTTTTGCCGAATAATATTATTTTATTGATAAATATTTGATTTTAACGTAAAGTTTTGTGTTATAAACTCCAAGCAACAAATGATATATGATATTTCTTACCTGTTTAAAACTTATATAACTTTCAAACCAGTACCGCGATTGTTTAGAGCCGAATATTTGAAACTTTAAAAAGTGCGAAATATTTAGTTTAAGAAATTCCGCTAAATGAGTAACGAAGTCAAATTTGATGGATTTGTGGTTCGGTGGTTTGGGCTTTGAATTTCAATCAATCAGAAGTTTGGCTTTTTATTTGTTTGTATCTATCTGTATGTTTTTAATTTGTATACGTTATTGTACTCTGCTATTCATGAAACTTCATATAATTACCAAGTTACTGAAATATCCGACTAAACTAGTCTTGTATCTTCCTTTCGTTGGTAATTGTTTACTACGATTTATTTAAAGGCTCACTGAATTAATCACTGGAATACAGTTTACTGGTTGTTTTTCAAGTTTCCTAAGTAACAACACTAATGCATCACCTTGTACTACAACCCTTCAGCAATTAATATATGTTATCTCAAGTTTCACGACTGTAGATATGTATGCTGAAGCTTTTTTGTCTACCATCTGAATAAAATGTTTATTAATTGTTAGAATAATGAAGTATCGTTGGGTATAAGTTATTAATTGTTACTAATAAAATTCTTTCGATATTTCGTCATAAATACTATGTTCATGACGCCACTTTAATTCGGTTGCTGCATAAACTCGTTCAATGAGCGTTTCAGGTGGGTAACTTCATTCAATATCTATTCAGTATTTAAGGTAATTTATTGTCTGTTATCGTCAATTTGTGTTTGCATGAATTAATTTATTCCAGTTGAACTGGACACGATTAAAGGAATAATTAGATAACCAGATTAACATCTTCAACTGAACTATTTCATTTGAGTTTGTGTGAAAGATTTGACAAATCTACCAGTATCTCATATTTGACACTTTAATTATGAGTATGATATCGTGTATATTGTCTTTAGAGAGTCTACCGTATTATACTGTTTAATAAACCGAAAATCGTTCCAATTTATTTCCTTAGCATCATTGAACCTGTTAAAACACATCAAACTAGACTTCCATTACCTATATAAAAGAAACTTACACAGGACTTCAGCCTTCTCTTGATTTTTTTCTACTCAATTTCTATTTTAGTTAGCTACTGATATTTGTTCGGTTTAAAAACATTCTTTCGTAATCTTGTGAATATTATTACTATTATTAATTCGTCTACTGAATTTGAGAACAACATAATAACCAATTTCTGGTAATTTTAGAAATTAATTAGTGTTTTAAATCCCAATGTAAACCCTAATATAATTGTTTTGATTAAAGTCAGTCAGTCAGTCACAACGTATAGCTTTGTACGTACGTACATCATTTCGAGTTGCCATACCACATTAGCACAAAGATGCAGTTGTCGATTCAAACCCCGTAGTGGTAGAGGTAGTAAGAGTATAAGCATTATGTGAAAGATTAGGGTTTGAAGATGTTATTGAAGGAGTATAATCCAATGAAATAGATTTGGAAAGAGAAAAAATATAAAGACTTGAAGAATTCAGAAGATTAGAATTTGGGAGAACACAAAGAACGGATGCACCTTCGCCATTGCAAACGATTTTAAGCCATGTCATTCAAGGTCTCTAACCATCGATTGCTATCATCTCACGGATCCCAACCAGGTAGTTTACACCTACCAACATGGCTAATTCCACTTGTCAGTGACTTCGTGGATTTGTGCCACGTTTTGACCTGACTACCCCTAGCTTTCTTCCAACCTACTCCTACACCATAAAACATTGCACGTCGGGGCAGTCGGTGGTTGGGCATACGTAACACGTGTCCCAGCCATCTCAACTAATGAGGTTTGACTACTTCGTCAATTGATTTGTCATCCTTACCTAGTACCCGTTTCCTAACAACTGCATTACTTACTTGGTGGTTCTTGGATATACGAGCAATGCTTCGAAGACACCTATGGTCGAATACCGGTAATCTACGAATATCCTCTACTGTTACCGGCCATGTTTCACAACCATAATTTAGGACGGAACGAACTTCTGAGTAGTAAACCCGTCCTTTGGTTGGTAAACGGATATCTCGCCTACTCCATAAATGACGCAAGTTGGTGAAAGCTAGTCGATCGTTCTGTATCCGTGCTGAGATTTCGTCATACGCCAAACTACAAGGGCTGACGAGACTCTCAAGATAAGTGAAGCGGTAGGCACGCTCAACTGCTTCACTCCCTATGATTGGTTTAGGTGCCGATGTAGTCCAATCCTGAGGCAACATTTTGCATTTCAAAGGGGGAGAATCGCATCCCAAACATGCCTGCATATTTGCTTATAGTGGTCAGAAGACTCTGCATTTTGTCAGTGTCTTCACCAAATAAAACTATGTCATCGGCATATTCATACTTTGAATCGCTCTTCAATCTGGATTTGAAGTTAATATATCTTTTTGTAATGAAAGTGGTCTGTTTTTTCATCTTTTTTAATGTATCTAGTTATGTATTTTACATAGTTACTATCTGATAATCTGTTTTATTTCTTTTCAGGCTTTTCTTAGTACTAATAGTACATTTTCTAGTAAACCACAATTTCGTAATTCATTTTGTATTGATCAAATTAGAGAAGGACTTATCGTTGGTTACTTAGATTTCCTTGTTCAATTTCTTAGTGATCTGGCTAAGGTAGATTCACTTTTATAGCATGTTTTTCATGTTTTAACATATTATATTTATGAATATTACACAGATGTGTTATGTTTCAATGCTTATCTTTTTCTACTAATCTAGGAGGGAATATTCTGTAAAACTCATTTAAGACGTAACTGTTGTATATACTTTGTCGATCACTTATTCATTAATTTAGTTTTTGCATTATACTATTGTGTTTATTTCTGACAATATATTTTTAGTCGCTAGTTGTTAAATCTTGAATGCTCGTTTTTTCTTACTCTTCAACGAAATATATACCGTCATGTGTTGATATTTGTACTCAAGTAACATCACCTCTTTTCGAAAGGATACTAAACTGTCTAAGCTTAATCTCCTCCGTCAGCTGTTACTAAAATATTGTCAACTTGACGTCAATTGTAATATATTATCAGCAATAATGAATTCACTTGTTCACAGAAACCATCTCATAACTAGCTAATTAATATCGAGAACAAAACACATCAGTTAGTCAAGATAATCTCAAGTAGTGTTAGAGGTACATTGACCTCTGTTTATTCCCTGTTCCCCTTACCATGGAAGGATATACAACACGTCCTTACCTTATGCTCTCTAGATACACTGGGGATTCTTCTATTTCTCGTTTTTTGATTTGTTTTTTTCTTGTTACATGAAGTCTCTTATTCTTTTTTAGACAACTGTATGCAAAATTCCGGGTCCTATTTTACTAACACTTGGAAAATTATGTTTAATGTGGGCTGATTCTGGTACAGTTGGACATTTGATTTCTCTGGCCGACGATTTTATGCTTTTCGGTAATGATTATATAATTCTGGTAATCATAATAACGATCTCTAAAATTAAACGTTTTGAAGAAACTAAACTTGATTGATAAAGGTTATTTGGTGAATAGTTCACTGAATTAGTTTGTGACTTCTTGCATAATGTAAAGACAATTTTTCATCATCAGCTACAACGTAGGACCAGGCACATATATGCATCGGTCCAAGTTGCCATACCTCGTTAGCACAACAAGAGGAACACCGGATTCATAGTAGTTAATCTAGTGTTGGTAGTAGTATATAAATTATAGGTTGTATATAAGGATATAGTACAGGAAGGAAGAGAGATATGAAGCAATTTTAGTCTCAAGGTTTAAGAGAAGATAAAGAGTGTATACACCTACGCCATTGTGACCGATTCTGAGCTATGTCACCTAGAGTCTCCAACCATTGGTTACGATAGTCACGCGGACCCCAACCAGGTAGTCTGCATCTGCCAACATGGCTCAGGCTAGAAGTTAGTGACTTCAAACACTGATGCCATGTTTTGGTTTGGTCGCCCCTAACTCTCTTCCAACCGTCCCCAATACTAGTCATCATAGCGCGTCGTGGTAATCGGTGTTCAGGCATACGTAACACATGGCCCAACCATCTCAGTCGATGAAGATTCATCACCTCATCAACTGATTTACCATCGTTCCCTAATACCCTGCGTCTAACCTCACTATTACTTACCCGGTTATCCCAGCAGATGCGAGCAATATTTCTAAGGCATCTGTGGTCAAATACTAGTAACCTACGAGTATCTTCTACTCTTAATGGCCATGTTTCACAGCCGTAAAGTAGGACAGAGCGAACTGCTGCGCAGTATACTCGTCCCTTAATTGATAGACGGATATCTCGTCTACGCCATAGGTGACGTAAGTTGATTTTTCATCATGAATTGACTTTAATTGGAGGTTGTAGAAGATTACAGTGCTCTGAGTAAGCGTTTCAGTTTACTCTTACAATTTTCTGTATTACACAGTTTCATTATATGGTGAAGAAATTCGTTAAATTTGAAATAAATCGTTACTTATATTCATATGAAAAATATGTAAATGCAACTGAATATCTACTTAAAGATTTTACATTCTATTTTGTGATACGTTACTCATAAATTAAGCATAATATACGTTTGTGAAAACTAAGTCGATGCAACATAAATTTAGATTTGACTGTAAAAATTTGATTATCTGAATTGAGTTATAACTCAATAGGGAGGTTAGTCTTCGCCATTTTTATTTGACATATATGTCACATAAATCAGTCTATTAGCCTAGTCCCGAATAACAGTGATTATTCATTTAGTCTCGTGTAAATGTGCTGTGTACGTGGATTCTAATTATTTTATAATGTTATTAGTTAACTAGCTTCATTAGGGAATGGATATATTGCATTAAATAACAATCTCATTAATCTAGGATCTGTAAATCCTCCACATTGTCGACCGAACTTCCCACAGTATGATCGATTTCTTATTATATGAGTACGTTTCCATTATCAAATACCATATAATTACAGTCACCTTATTTACATGTTGGTTGTCACTTGTTTTTTTCTCAGGTTCACAAACAAAAGAAACAAAAAAGGAGGATTTTAATGCAGAAAATGGTAACAGATCACTCACTACTCCAAAAGATGTATCAAATCGTTTCAGGTCTACTGGTAACGAGCTTCTAGTTGCTTTTGTTCGTTTAGAAGGGACAAATTTGGCACAACTACTTCGAAAAAGTGTTGAAGCAAGGGATTGGCTAAAAAATTTGGAACCACGTACAGTCCGTTCTGCAGTTAAAAGAGTGATAGAAGATTTAGTATTACTAGATCAACAAGTAAGTTAAATACTGCTAACGTTTAACGCTAAATTTATTGTGATCATTCATTTTCATTTGACTTCATCACAACTTATTTATCATCTATGCTTATGATATATCTGCGTTTTTTTCTAACTGTTGACTTGGGTTTTATTTGTTCATCAATGTTTTGTGTGCCAATTTTTATCTCAATTACAAGTCAAGTTCATATACTAATTTCAGTCTATGTTCATGTTTAGGTCAGCCAGCTGTTTTCATCGAATACTCGTAATCGTGATCGTATTTCTGATTCACGTTCCAATCGTAGTCTACGACCAAGCACTTCGTCACATCTTACAGACGCTACACGAACTGGAAGTTCAAGTCAAGGATTTCATTCTCCCGACTTAGATCCAACTCTAGCTACTCACTTACGCCATCTATTTACGCAAAGAGTTGATATTTTTACTGCAGTTGACGCAAATCGGGAATCATTACTTCTGGGTGTCATTAAAATCGGTTTAAAGGTTAGCCAAGTTTTCAGTTTCAATTGGTCCACTACATATTTATTGTATGTTGTAACTAACTATTATCACTTTGTAAGATTTGAAAAAGTTTTCAATAGGATTAGTAAGAAACAGTGAATTTCAATGTCCGTTTTCTTTCTATAGGGCTTTAAATAAAGTTTTTTAGTGAGATTTAGAATAGTTTAATAGTTAAACTACGTTAAGAGTCAATTAAACAAATATAATCCACTTACAATTGAAACATCGCTGTAATCCAGCCAACTTTTCACATCTCTGATTAGTAAATGTTTTGTATCAATTCACTCGATAGCAGGAAAGTTAGTAAATGTTTGTTGTGCTCATCAGCTTAATACGAATAAACTCAATCAATAATCAGTATTTCTTTTCATCTATTTATGCGACAATCATTTTCTTGTTACAGCTTGTTTTTTTCACCTGTATGCTGTGAAGCAAACCCTCCAAAATTTAGTAACTAAGTGGTAGTTGATTTATGAATAATAATTCAAAATTTGAATCTTACATAACTTTGAATAGTTGTGTATTTTAACATTAAGCACCAAGTTATGGTGTTTTACCACCTCGAATTTCAATGTGTCAATAATTATCAACAAGTCACCACCTAAGTATTTCCAGAGACATTGTCAATTTCATTGCTTTTTACTTCTCTAAACTCCCAATCGCTAATATCTACATTTTGTGGTGGTTATGTGCTAAATCAATCCATCAATTCATTGACTGTTAAACTGAGTTGTGAGCGGGTCCAGGTTTTTTGGTTGGGGACAGATGAAGTGGTTCAGGATCAAAATGGGGCAACCTATAACCATGTTGTTAGAAGCAGATGATCTTACCAGTCTCTTTATTCTCGTTCCTTTCTCCCAGTTCATGTCCCCCCATGATGGGTTCATACCGGGCATCGGCGTTCACATCCCCCACCGAAATAGACGAGTCTTTTTCTGATCATTCCTGTAAGTCTCTCATAAAGCTGATCTTTACCTTCGCCATGGGTTTCTCACCCCATATGTGCTGCTCATATTTCTCAGGACGGTATCAGCGGAACTCCTTGTATGCGGAGCGTTTTCTATTTCATGACCACCATACTATAACAGCTCTTCTGAAGTTAGTCTTTTTTATCCAGGTTGTATTCAATGGTTTTCGCTCACTATGAGCATGGGTAATTTGGGAGGCAAGTTGAATGACCTTCCCAGTTTCCCACATTGCATGGACATCCCATGTACGTATATTATTTGTTTCTCTTTTAGTTAGAAAAGGGATCGACCCCTTGGCCTTCGAAAAATGTTGAGTTTCACTAAGAGGCATCATAACTGATCTATATGAATACCCTTCAAATCCCAGGACAGTTTAAATGAATTAATTGGTTTATTCTGGTTAGAATTTTCTTAGCGAAGTTCATTTTTATGAGATAGTGCTGCTAACTCCACCTTACCTTCTTCGTTTACTCGTGCTTGGGACCGACTAACCCTAAGCGACTCAAAGTGGAATTTATTCTTAAATCTCATTCACAATGTTTTTAAGAGGTTAAGTGTTCACAATCATTGTGTGAAATGCATTTATAGGTCAGTTCTTTTGTTAGTTGTGGCATATCTTTAACGAACATGCCGTTAAATTCAGTTACAATTTTACCCTGTTCTAGGTTTAAACAACCTTTGTAAAATAGGCTTAAATTTTCTAATTACTGTAACATAGAATGTCTAATATGGAATAGAACTTGATTCATTCTATCTGATACCGTATAAATGAAAATAATTACGAGAATTCCTTTATGACCTGTCAAGATTCTGATTTTACTGATATTCTACAAGTGCCCTTATATTTCCTGTTTCAAGCATAGATCATTGAGAACTTTTCTAATGTTAGACTAAGCGATTGAAGGTTCGAATGTCAAATTTCTTTATAGATCTAACTTGTTAAATGACAAAGTGTATGAATCCAAGTTCCACACCCACTAGCTCTTCAAAAATTTTTATATTGTTCCACTCAGCTACATTGTTTTATTCGATTATTGAGACTAACTCACTGCTTCTCAACTGATTTACTGTTAAACGATACGTTAAAAAAGTAATTTATTGAATTCATTTACTTGTTTAATTTTGAATGATCTAGACTTTGATAGAGTGTGCACGTTTACAAACATTTGGTCGTTACGGTTTGCAACAAATACAAGTTGATTGTCGATATTTACAAATTCATCTGTGGCATTTCGTAAATGATGAAAAGTAGGTCAAATTTCACTGGACTGATTAATAAATAGAATTATTTTTTTCTCATAGTGAGTCTAAGGTTCTTTGGTATTTAAACGAACATCGATCATATTTTTATAACTTTATCGACAAACAATTTTATAATTCATGAGGATTTTAAGTAGTTAGAATGTAAGTAGCATAGGTTTTTTAAAATATGTCCGCTAAATAGTACACTAAATAGTACACTCTCCCTACGTGACCTGCGAAATTCGGATGTAATCTGAACCATGGATGTTCTGATTTGATCTTTTCTGGAATTTTTTAATGCACGCTGACACTGTTCACACTTGTTTACTATATCTTCTATTTGAACATCCATTATGCGTAATTGCGTGCAATCAATTTCATTCTGGCTATTCCTGAATGTTCAGTATGAAATTGTTTAAGTAATCTCTTCTGTAATTCTTGTGGTGACACAACACATTCTCCAAACATAAGGCCATTTCAGACTGTGCATCGAGATTACGGTCATTGAAATAGGCGTTGTAGTTCTTCATCTAAAGACAATGGCCATTTATTTTGAAGGTAATCAATCTCTTGTTGGATCTTTGAACCTTCTTGTGACATCTACTTGGCAAGCTGCTTTGGGAATGGCTCTCACGGCATTCATGAAACTGTCTTTTGCGTAATCAGCGGCGGAAATTACGGTAACAACACACTCTTCGTTAGTAATAAGGTAATTACTCATTAAGCGAGTTAGAGTGTCTACCTGCGACCAAACCAAAACGTGGCATCAGTGGTTGAAGTCATTAGCTTCTGGTCTGAGCCATGTTGGTAGATGCAGACTACTTGGTTGGTGTCTGCGTGACTATCGTAACTAGGTTGGAGACTGTGTGACACGGCTCAGAATCGATCACAATAGCGTAGGTGTATACACTCACTGTCTTCCCTTAAACCTTGAGATTAAAATTGCTTTATATCTCTCTTCCTATGCAATCTTTTTTTTTACATAATCCTATAATTGAAGTAACTACTTCTATGAATTCGATGTCCATCTTATTGTGCTAATGAGGTGTGGCAACTCGGACCGATGTATATATGTACCTGGTCCTACGTTATAGCTGACTGACTGATTGATTATGCTTTTGACTTAAGGCAATATCGAGGCAATCCCCACAGGATGCACATATGCTAATAAAAGATTGACCAATCGCAGTCCTAAACATCAATGGAAGATTCAAACTAACAATAACAAATGAAATTAAAATTGTCTGGTAATTAGATCACTACGTCTTTGTTCTATTAACTTAGAACTACTGCAAAATAAACTGTTTGTGCTCGTAATAGATCATATGAGTGTATATTTTTGGTTTTTTATAGTGTATATAATATCAGTTGTGTTTTATGCTTTAACCCACACTGTGTATTAGGAATAATGCATTTCTTTTCCCTAGGATTATTTGTATGTTATTGGAAGATGTGATCTACAGTGTTGTTCAGCGTTGCATTGATCCATGTTTCATGGAAGAGAGTGTAAGTTTCAGTTTATTTTTTTGAGAGTGATTGTTTAAACATCATAGTACTCAGAAGAAGGTATCCAGTAATATATATGCTACAAATGTTCTTTATCGCTATCCGCTTTCCCCGTCTAACTTTGCTAACAAAACCTTATGCATTTTTCAAAACCTACATCACTGCCAACATATTTTGACCACCTGTTCTAGTTGATACTTAAATAATTGACTGCAAATGGTAGAACGTTGTTTGTCTAGTTCATAGAATTGTGGTACAATTTGATAAATATTGTTTGCCTTGAATAAAACCGAACGTTTTTCAGTTAGTACAGTTTTATTTTATTATTTCCTGCTTCAGTCTGGGCACCTGGGCAGTATCACAGCCCTCACACAAATCGAATGAGATTTGTGAGGCGCATATTTATCTGGTGCTTCATTGTACCAATATTTATGTGTTTAAATAAATAAATAAATAATAATACATTATTTATTTAATTTTATTTGAGCACATAAACATTGGTACAAGGACTTACTTACTTACTTACTTACGCCTGTTACTACCAATGGAGCATAGGCCGTCTACCAGCTTTCTCCAACCCATTCTGTCCTGGGCCTTCTTTTCTAGTTCTATCCAGTTCTTGTTCATTCTTCTTATGTCTGTCTCTATTTCTCGGCGTAATGTGTTCTTTGGTCTTCCTCTTCTCCGTTGACCTTCAGGATTCCATGTGAGGGCTTGTCTTGTGACGCAATTAGGTGATTTCCTCAAGGTGTGCCCAATCCACTTCCAGCGCTTCTTCCTGATTTCTTCCTCTGCTGGAATCTGGTTTGTTGTCTCCCACAGTAACTTGTTGCTGATAGTGTTTGGCCATCTGATCCGAAGTATCTTGCGTAGACGGCTGTTAATAAACACTTGTATCTTCTGGATAATGGCTTTCGTAGTTCTCCACGTCTCCGCCCCATACAGTAGAACTGTCTTCACATTTGTATTGAAAATTCTAACCTTGGTGTTGGTTGATAATTGTTTTGAGCTCCAGATGTTTTTCAGTTGTAAGTATGCTGCTCTTGCTTTACCGATCCGCGCCCTCACATCGGCATCAGATCCACCGTGTTCATCAATGATGCTGCCCAGATATGTAAAGGTTTCCACATCTTCCAAAGCTTCTCCGTCAAGTGTACAAGGAGGCACCAGATATATATACACCACACATTTATGTGAGGGCTATGATACTGCCTGGGTGCCCAAACGGAAGCTGGTTTATTTTACATTATGGAAATACGTTTGCGAAGTAGTATAGATTCACTCACCTATATAACTAAGGTTGTTGACTTATATTTAATACATTTAACCGTCTATATTCGTTTTAGTGTAGACTCTAGTTTACTCAGTTTTTGATGTGCGAGATACAGTACTAAACTATTCTACTTTATCTGAACTAGAGGGAGCAGTTACCTGGTGGTCAAAACATTTAAGTTACAAACACTAGGTCACAGGTTGGAACCCACTTTATCTACTTCAGTTTGAACAGGCTGGTAATAGGTCACTAATCTTCATACCTAAAGTTTGGTTAAAGGCTCTGTGCATAAATTTGTACTTGTTAAGTTATATGTAACAATGATTTTTACAAATATGAACTATTTTCATCATATGAAATATAAATAATGGTCATTATTTATATTTTCCGACAAAGGTAATCATCTTATTCGGTGAGGTCTGTATCATCAATGTAGTATGTCGAGAATAATGTCCTAAATTAAAAAGATACTATTGGGGTTGTTAGATTTACTGGCCTCAGAATATTTAATTGTGGTTAATATATAAATAGTAAGTGGTCATACAGTGAATAGTTATTAGCTTAGGTTAAAAACATCGGATAAAAAGTGCTAAGCTCAGTAACAACAATCATTTCTCAGCACGGACAAACTGAAAATGACCAGATCAATTTGACCGAGCGTGCTGCTTGTGATTAACCGATGAAATACAATAAGCGAATTCTAGGATTGGAGTTTAGTTACTCATGAGTAATACGTTTGCAATAAAAGAACTTCACGACGATGCTTTGCCTAATGTTATCGAGTATGTAATCAATGACACTTAATTAGTTTAATAGTTATCTTCCATCATCTATTGATTTACTTTAAAGATCAGATTTCCAATGTATTTATAATCGGACAATCTATTTGTTGCGAACATTCTTAGAATTTCTATCAAGTTGAGTTATGTTTTTCTCATGTACTTAATATTAATTTCTCCTGTCCCTTTGCTCTTGTTTCAGGTTGTCGAGGCGATTTGTGATCGAGCATAAAGTTACTTTATTATTGCTTAATTCTTGATAATGACCGTTTTGCTTCCTGAAGTTGAAGAAGAAAATAATAAGTGTGTAACTTCTTTTTTTTTGGTGATATTCTTTCATTAATTATCGTGTGATATTTTCATCCGTTTATTATTATTATTATTGTCAAATAATGATCCATTTTTCCTTGGTGTAGGACGAAGTTGAATTTTAGAATTCTAATTGTAAATTATTTACCATATTCAAATGTTAATAATCCATGTCTTGTTGTTTTTATAATTTTTGTACTAAGAATTGTTTAGCTCTGTTTTCCGATACTTCAATGTGATGTTTTTAATTTATAAATTTTCATTATCTAACTTATTGTATGATGTTGGTTTGAATTTTCGTACATGGTCACTTATTTGTTTTTGTTGAAACAATAAACCTTTTTGGTCTCAATTTTTTATGCTCTTTTTTCGTGTGAGATTATCTCTGAACGAGGATTTCTTCGCTGAATTGCTTAAGTGCGGTAAGAATAGTCAAGTAATTCACATTCAGTTTAAACATATGGATTGCAAATCTGCTCCCAGAAGTTGGATGGGACAGTGATTAAGTCATTTTGCATCACCTACCACTAATGAAATCCATGACAGTCTAATTCTTGTAGATTAGCCTAAGGTATATTGGCGAACGTCCCTGTAGACTGAAATAAACTAGTTTCAGGAAAGAATATAAAATCCTGCAGACCATTATATTCTCAGAGTGTTTTATCGAGATGAAACGATAGTAACAGTTAGATTACTATATGTCTATTATTGATCTCTTTAAACTTAAAAATTCTGCAACCGAAAACCAAAAAAACTGAAATGCGTCGCCAAAATTTTGCACATATTCCAATTGTTAAGTCAAAAAATCATGACTTACAAAGTATCTCACTTTTCATATTACTATCATGACAATAAGGCAAACTATACTATTAATAGTTTACATCTATAAACGTTTATGTAATATAAAATAATACAGATACAATAGAGTAGTAGTTATATTTTCAATTTCTGTAAAGGAAAGTATTCATGGAAATAAATATCCGGTTACTCAGCTGGAGTCGTTTATTCTTGCCAATTTTCATGAAGAAATGCACAGAATTCGGGGTAGTCAATCATTTGATCACAATTCTTATCTATACTTTGCATCCAACAATTTAAAGCGTCCTCAGATACACGATGATATCCTAGTTCCCGTAAAACTCTTCTGATTTCATTTAGTGATAATTGTCCTGATCTATCCCGATCAAATTCATTAAAGGTTCTTCTCCATTGTCCAACACTAAATATTCACAATGTTAAGAATTAATTTAAAACATTACTCAGTATAATTGTGGAATAAATTATCCAGATTCTTTTGATAAAGTTGTACAACATTGATGAAGGTACTAGGTATTCTCGTAGTATTGATCTAAACCAAAATCAATTGTTGTCATTTAAATATTTTAAAAGATCATACGATTATATTTGGATCTGCCTATTTATTACATTATCATAACTTTCAGCAGTCAACGAACAATAATGTTAAACTGAATGTTTCATGTTTTTCTGCAGCACTGATTTCCCAAAACTAAGGATTGTTTATATCATGTTACTTTTATGATGTATGTCTGTTAAATGCAATTCGGTAACCATTCATCGGTTCACATACCAAAGTTAATTATTCTACTTACTCATTGGAGTAGTCAAAATAATGAGTTTACTTCAAATTTTAGGTCTTTCGAACTGGAGAGGTCTGATTAAGAGTATGAATCATTTTTGATCAGCATCCATGAAGTGGATTAATTTTAATTTGTCGTTATTTAATTAGGAGTAATCCCATAAACATTGTGATTCCATGTAACAAAACTAGGTATGATGTTTTAAGTAGAATTCTCATAAATTCGCATTCAATTATTCTTTAAATTTTGCGCAAGTGCTAAAGAGTAAGCAATTAGACAAGGTGCTAAAAGTTGTTTATATGCTAAATGTTTCTTGTTCTTACCTCAAAGTAACTTCAGCGGAGAAAATTATAGGAAAGGTCTCCAAAAATTATCAAAATGAAATGCTAGTAAATGGAACTTCAACTGTCAAAAAGTGGTATTATTTAGATTAGAATAATCAACAGATTCTATCACTTTTTAATCTATCGTGATTTTATTTGTTGTCCTTGTTCCAATGTAACATTCCAGTAAACTCGATCAATGTAGGCTATAAAGACGTGATTTCTATTATTTACTCTCCGATCATGAATAACCTGGAGTAACCGGTGTTGTCATGTAAAATCATGTGTCCAGATCAATATTAGACCATCAAAAATCTGTAAATGCTGGACAACCGCTTCGTCCCAATACGGGATTCCTCAGCGGCGCTCGTCCGCGATATCACACGCCTTTCTGAACCTAGCACTTCCGATCTCACAAGCGAACGCTCAACTGAGCCCACATTGAATGGTGTTAATGTCTGTCTTCAACAATCCACGATGTAACGATATTTGTTACTGAAAAGTGTCTCTTACTACCAATAATAGTTACTATCACGGCAACGAACTGACTGATGCATAATGTTATCATTAATTTTTTTATTCCTTTCATACTTCATGATCATATGGGTAGTTAAGATCATGTTGATTGAGTGAATAGTTATTGAACACTTGTCTTTATTTTGATTAGCTATCCGAAGGATTACCCATTAAAAAATATTAAAAAGCTATTTATGTAGTAATCCTAGGGATTAAAAAAGATTTTTTAGAGTTTGTTTGGTTTGTATTATTACAAAAAATAAGGCAATAAAATTCAATTTCAATATTTGAGAGGTTGGTTATATGGATTTGTTTTTATGGCGATAACAATTAGATGGTAATAAAGTATTAAATTAATTCCTGTCTGAGTTTTAAATTCCTATATGTAGATGGATATTTCAGTTATATAAAATTCTAATTTTTTCCTTGTGTAAATGTTATAAAAGGTCAGTAATTCAGTAGTTAGTTTGAATCAAAATGTTTCTACATTGTAACCATGATTAGGTGTATTTCTTAAGAAAATAAGCTTAACGAATTCAATGGAAACAATGGCTGAAAGCTTAATAAATAGGGATTTATTCGAAATAGATTTTATTTAAATACATACTGCCAACATTGGCCATCATATCAAAACGTGTTTGACGGCGGTATCTTACATCATTTGTAAGAGTGTGAAAGTCTTAATAATGAATACGATATGTCACTCACAATAGATCATGATGAGGACTGGAATTGTTTCTCAACCAGGAATAATGTATTAGTGATTAATAAACATTAACATAAAGTATTTAGCCTTTGGCAATAAACGAAATTTACAAATACGGCTATCAATGTCTACGTAATTAAAACTGAAAATTAAAGTGATCAGTATTTACCAAATAATGAATGAAAGAAGACGTAGGAGTAATCATTTTGGACAGTAACACATACTGAGGAATACAATTGAAATTCGTTGCTGACACTAGAAAGCATGATTTAGTGCTATTCAGTTAAAATTGAGACGAAAGTCAGTAAGTTAGAACAAAAACGAAAAGGACTTTAGTCTTATTTTAGTCAAATATAGAACAACTGGCTATTAGATATGTCAGAAGGGGGTTTTGTGTAGATTTTAGTAATTTTATATAGTTGAGATCATGAGTCGATTGAAGCTAGACTACCATGGAAAACCTGGAAGCACTGGACGGCCGTTTCGTCCTATTGTGGGAATCCTCAGCAGTGCGCAACCACGATTCCGCCTCGCGAGATTCGAACCCATTCATGATCTCAACTATATAATATTAGATATGTATTTCACTTGATCAATTTAATGTTGAACAACTTTATCAAATGGATGAGACAACAAATGATGTTGACTTTCTGAACTCAATTGAAATCTTAGTTGCTTTACATTTTTCGAAGCTTCATCTTTCCCAATAAAATGAATAAGTAATTAATAAATTACTCATAAAACTATCAAAGATAATGTTAGTTACAAAATTGACTCATATACCCAAATATGTCAATTCAGTTAAAGCAAATTAGAATTTCTATCTTTACAAAAATCATCTCACTGACCATTATTTGCCAAATATAACCATCTACTTACTCAGCTATCAAATTTATCTTTTTTTAATGTAATTAATAAAACCTGATGATTATAACATTTTGTATCTAAAACTGTCGAAAGTTGAATAGTTAAAAGAAAAATTCCGAAAAAGAAAATTACTTCAGTATTTTATAAATAGCAGTGTCATGGCAGCTAATCATTAATAAGTAAAAACCTGAACTCCTTACCATTTTTATCTATCTCGTATTATCTAAATGACAACAAATACATTCAATGATTCTAATCAGTTGTCTTATCGGAATTTGTTAAACAATTAACTGGAACATTAAAACAACACATGTATTCAGTTTCGAATTACATTCTTCCTCTTCGAATTTCACTCTTATTTGGTTTATTTATCTTCATTTTATACATGCTGTAACATAATTGATTCATATCATATTTTAAAAATTGTATGTTTTCTTAAAAATTCACCGACATGAGACAATATATTGTGAATGAAATTCTCCTCTCACCACTTACCTTTATATACATTATGTTATATTAACACTTATCATCTCACATCACAAATCTTTTACACACTAATACATATACCTAGTTTAGACATTGTTAACGTTGATTGGATGACCTATTCAGTGTACAATGAAACGCAGAACCATGTACCTATTTATATTCGATAATTTTGATGTTTGATTATAATTCCTTGAAAAAGCTTGGACCATATTGCCAGGCGAAACGTTGGATTTAATTTAAAAATTCATTCGCTGAGATTTTACAAATATATTATTCTATTTAATGTCTTACTTCAGTATAGTTTTATTTATATAATAAACAACTATTTATTTATACTGAAGTAAGAAGTCACTTTTATATAAATTAGTGTCTGTATAATTCATGATGACTATTAAATTACAGCTTAGAAGTTATGATAATGCTTTATTAAGTCTATTGATTTTGGAACTAATTGTAATATCAAATTCATTTAGCATTGCTTATTTGAATCTTCTCATCGATGTGTTAGGACTGCAACTGGTCAGTCTCTAATTGGCATATGTGCATACTGTGCTTATTGCCTCGTTATAGCCTTAATTCACAAGCATGGTTAGCAGAGATGGATAGTGGCTAGCAGTGGAATCCAGTTTGACGCGCGTTTCGTCCTATTTGGGACTCGTCAGCTGGATGTACCTGCATCTCAGAGTTGATGTTCACTCTGTGACTCGAACCCAGTACCCTTGCTTCAAACACAATCGTGTTATCCACTCGACCACTGAGTCCTGATAGTAATATCATTTTAAAAAAATCACATTCACAAAATTGATTTATTTCCAGATCCTTTGAATAAAGTAAAGCAAACAAACAAACAAAAATAAGCTTAGCAACTAATGTTCAGTTATGATTAATTTTAACACAGTAGTTATATAATTACAATTATATATTAATGATATTAATTTTCAACTATTGGTTCTTCTATTTCATTGTTCAGTAATAGTACAAATTCATCAAATGAAATTTTTCCATCATTATTTTTATCAACTTTTTCAATCCATTTATTTATTTCCATTTGAGTATAGCGATTATAATCACATTCATGTAATAATGTACAAATTTCATTTGATGTTAAATATCCTGATTTATCTTTATCAATTGAATCAAATGCCATTTTCCATTGATTAATACTAGAAAATTGAAATAAAAAAAGTTTATTTTTGGGTAAATAAAATCAAACTCTATAATTTATATACTGTTAACTATGCAGAAAATGATACGAACAAATATTATAGAAGGGTAGAACATTTGTTGAAAACTATTAATCAGAACATTATGTGTTAATCAAAGATGGATAGTAGTTAGCGGTGGAATCCAGTTTGACGCGCGTTTCATCCCATTTGGGACTCGTCAGCTGGATGTACTTGCTATCAGGACTCAGTGGCCGAGTGGATAACACGATGGTGTTTGAAGCAAGGGTACTGGGTTCGAGTCACAGAGTGAACATCAACTCTGAGATGCAGGTACATCCAGCTGACGAGTCCCAAATAGGACGAAACGCGCGTCAAACTGGATTCCACTGCTAGCCACTATCCATCTCTGCTAACCATGCTTGTGAATTAAGGCTATAACGAGGCAATAAGCACAGTATGCACATATGCCAATTAGAGACTGACCAGTTGCAGTCCTAACACATCGATGAGAAGATTCAAATAAGCAATACTAAATGAATTTAATACTAAGGAAATTGTTTATTAATATTTACTTTTTTTGATTTCAACAAATAACATTGCTGTATTTCATAGTGAGCTATGCAGATTTCACATATTTCGCAAAGAATGTAGTTAACTGTATGAATGCATATGTGAAGTCATACTTTTAGATGTTAAAATATATCTGAACAAAATAAAAAGTCTCCGTTATTTGGCTTTGATTATATTGAAAATAAGACGCCTACTATCGTTGATGGAATTGATTGATTAATGGTTGAAAGTTCATTATAATAATGACAACCATTGTGCTCTAGCTTGATCTAAAACTATCATGTTAACTGTCGCTCCTGAAGTTTCTAAGTTCAATATCAGAACATAATATTATATATATATATATATATATATATATATATATATATATATACGAAGATTAGAAATAGTTAGTAGGATATTTTTGAAGACATCAGTATTTCCTTGAGAACAACACACTAGCCAGAATATAAATTATTTAAAATATTTGGTAACTGACGCCACGTCTACTATATTTACCATCGAAAAAAATTGCCAAAAAGTAACAAAACGAGATATCGTGGTGTGCTAATAATATCGACAGATATAATTAGTATGTATCACCAGTTGAAAGTGAATGATCTGGCGGTAGGAGGTTAGGAGAAACAGGGAATAATTGGTTTGGAAACGAAAAAACAATCAATTCTTAGACAATTGATTGACGTTTTTACAAATGAAATATTTACCGTATAGTTCTCAGATTTTACTAAGTGATTTTGTGATTTTGTCTTCATTGGTGTTCTTGTTCACTACAATATAAGTGAACTAACTGAACAGTTTTTCAATGTTTAGTTGTAGATTTAAAGCAGCATTACTTTGAAATATAATTATTTTCAACAACTCACGAGATATATTTCATACCATAATAAACATCACTATTCAATGCTACATTTTCCTTGAGTTATAACATTTTACTAGTAATGCTTAATGTGAAAGAATTACACAGTCATTATAACGCATTAATAGTGATTGTTATAAAACTTAGGGTTCCTTAATGATTAATAAAATCTAGTCACAAATTAAATCATATTAAATTGGGATAAACGAAAATCTAATGTATAATTAAACTTCAGGATATAATGATGTATTTCGGCAACTTTTCGTTTCTTACTTCTTGGTCTATCCTGACGGTAAATATTAAGTGTTTATTAGTTAGAAGTTAGCAGTTCAATAAATCGACATCTAAATAATGTACAAATATATTGTCAGCAACCACTATATCTCTGATTGAGCCTTCTATAACTAGTACAACGAAAGGTTTTGCATTTTTCAGAAACGCATCTGAATAAGTTATAAGATTAATAACCATAATGATATATTAAAACAAAAAATATTAGATAAGTTGTTGAAATATCTAGATAGCAGGAACAGGTAACTCAGATGTTCAAGCGGGCTACATTATTGTTTTCAAGATCTTTTAGTAGTTACTATTATCGGAAAACTTTAATGATTATTAAAATAAATCAAAACAATGTATCACCATCATAATTTTTTTTAAGGATTTATAAATAAAGTTTATGTAAATGTCTATGTTTATTTAGAAAAAAAATGATCATAATATTAGATTATATAAAATCAATCTGATAAATTGATGTTCACTAAGATAGTGTCATAAATTGTTCAATGTGGAAAATATAGTGAAAAATACTTTTGTTATTCTTATTGGGAATGTTTGGTCTAATCCAAAATTAAAACAAAATATGCTTACATTTCCTTTCTATCTAAATGTGACGTAATGAAACGTACAACTTATTATAAATGTTGATATAAGATATAGAATATTTTTCTAGAAATATCAATTATTTACTTCATTTATGAGTTGAAAAATATTTAGTAACCCGTGATCTGACTTGTATTAGATTGTTTACCGCTTATTATCAAATGATTGCTGTTGAAATATACATCCTAGATACCTTCATATATAATTATCGACTTTACATGCGTTATTGTGTACAGGAATTAAATAAGTCGAATACGAGAATAAATTTTTGAATACATATATTTAGTACAATCGTTGATCAGAAAGCGGAGCAAAACAAAACGATATACAGTAGAGAAGGCGAGTAAACCAACTCAATTTAGTCAAGTGTGGATCGATATTTATAGTCACATTAAAAAAATTACAGACGTGTGATGAGTGGGATAAGAAATGCACACTCATACGCTTACATAAAAACGGTCAAGGTAAACAACCGAATAATTAACAAGGTCAAAATGTAACTTCAGGAGAATGAATAAGTGGGTTTGTCGAAAAGTTAGAATAAGCTATGTGGGTTTAACGTAGCAACTGACACTACAAATACTTGCTGTATTGAGTACTCAGATTTTAGAAATATTTCATAGATAACGTTCTGAATTCAATGTGAATTTACGAAATTGTAAGTTAAGATGACCAACTAAGGTCTTAGTTATCCCTTACTATCTGAACTTGATTATTTATTAGCTGTTAAATTATAAAAATCGTCTAATATATTGTAAACTTGTCTGTGTATACATTTTAAGATCTAAGATCTTTTAATCAACTGTAAAAAAACTTGTTATTACTGTTATAGAAACTAGGACGCAAACTTGAGAAAACGGTCAATTATTCAAGGATAAACCTAAAGGCCACATGGAAATAACAAATTCCAATTTCCAGTATAATGGAAGTTTGTACTTATATATTTCCTAGAATAGAAATAAAAGTTTATTTAAAGAAAAATTGATGGTGTAAATAGTTTATTAACTATCATTATTATTGTTCGCGTTGTGCAGCCAATGTAGCCTGCCTTGCTAGAGCAAGTAAAATCATAGACGCACATCGATGTGGTCTGAAGCGACGTTTATCTTTAATATTCTAGTAAATAGTAAGCCTGATAAAGAAAACAATATGAAGCTTAGGTACGTGGAAAGTTTCGTCAGAGATTTCAAATTTGTTAATTCAAGAATTTAAATTCGACATCCATACAATTGGGAAGTAAGTTACATTGGACGTACAAAGCGAGCACGTTCGAATATTATTCAACGTTCTTATTAAATCAAAACATCTTAGTCTTTTCATTACATTACGTTTGTGCGAAAGGAGAAAATTGCTGTTAAAAGTAATGAATGACGTGAAAAATTTGATACACTCTTTGGTTATAAATCTAACAATTTGCCTACTTTTCCAAATTTTTATTAATAAGATCAATAATGGATACTATAAACTCAATTGATACATAAAATAGACATTGTATGTCAAAATGTTTCCTAAATTTGTTATACTGATATTTCATTAAAAAGTTTCTATAGAGGAAATTAAGTCAAATATGTTAGATTTCTAGTAAACATAGAACAATCGTCGGTTTACTTGATATTAATTCAACCGATGTCAGTTGAAAAGAGTTCCTTTCACGCAATAGGCGGTAAGTGAAGTATCTTTTTCTTTCTTACGTTAAGATACACTAAAACTGCAAACACTTTACAACAATATATATATATATATATATATATATATATATATATATATATATATATATAAAACTGATTACCCAATAGTCTAATATTTCTTACCTTGCTAGCTCTTCCTTCCAAGTTACTTTACTTGTCTTATTTTATCTCTAAATCATACAAGAGTTCCATCATTTTTAAAAAAAATTTAAAAAAAAATCATACTCACTTCAGGAATTCTTCACTTTAAAATTATATAAATTTTATTTACTTTTTCTTTTGTTTAACTCTTCATTTAAATAATCAGATTTACTAAATAAAACTAAATTTATTCTATTTCAGTAATTGTGATAAACTGTAAATACAGCCCATAATTATAAAGTATATAATTTAATTAAAAACAATTATTTTTGATATATATTTGTTAGTTAATTAGGTTGAACTGAATGTTGAGTAAGGGATAGAAAACTATAATAACGATATACGAACATAACATCTCATTAAGACTACTAAATGCATGTCTTATTAGTGAAGAAAGGGTCATAATGATTATTAACATTAATTTGTATATTCATTATAATTGTCAACGGTTTCTTTTTTTGTTGTTGTTTTGTTACATTCTGAATATTTGAGATAAATTTTATTCATTGAAATATGTCAAGTATTTGTAAGCAAAGATGGATAGTGGTTAGTAGTGGAATCCAGGACGCTCATTTCGTCCTATTTGGGACTCAAGTATTTGTTTGTAATAAAATTAATCTTTTATAACTTTAGGGAATTTGCAGATGTAGCGTAACCTTAAAATAAATTAATTTTGTTATACACATCTTGTTGTTTATGATTTGTTTAAATTTATCAAATGAGTAAAATATAAATTAATTTATGGTTATTAATCAAAATCTGTTGTCAGATGAAAAAAAAGAATTAAAGCTTGATGTTTGTAATGAAATAAAAATAATAATACGTGTACTCATGTACTCATGTATAATATATAGAAGAAA